TGGATGCATCCCTGTAGATAATTTACAGATAGAGGTTCTGGTTGTACTTGTATCTATTAAAAACACATAATCCTCCTCCTCTGTCCCACAAATAAATTTATCAAGGGCTCTTGGCGGGACCCCGATATCAATAGCCCCTGACCCCACTAATCATCCTCTTCTCCCATAAGAGTATAGAGGCGCTGTTCCAGACGCTGAGATCTTCTCCTCTCAGGACAATTTCTTGCAAAATGTCCCTCCTTGCCAAATGCAAAGCATTTTCTACTTCCCATGCCGCCAACACTAGCACCAGGCTTTCTCCACTGGAGGAAACCTCTCCCTATTTTAGGACGCTGCTGTCTTTGCACTGTGGAAGATTGTTTAACAAAACCCTTTCCTCTTCCACCCCCCTCTTTCTTGTCTGCCAGCTTATTAGCAGCCTTTAATACAGACACCATCATTTGACTTTGCTGCCTAGTTTTCGCCTCATCCACATAAACCTTCTAAGCTTCTTTCAACAAAACTGTAATATCAGAATTTTGTTGAAAGAAGCTCAGAAGGTTTATGTGAATAGGAATGAGGCGAAAACTAGGCAGAAAAGTCAAATGATGGTGTCTGTATTAAAGGCTGCTAATATCAGAATTAACCCAGTCCTCTATTTTCTGTATCTTTTTCTCTATATCCGGCCATGCTTTCGTAACAAACTGCATCTTCATTAAGGACTCATAGGCTGGTGTTTCAGGAGAAAGACCAGAGTATTTATTTAAACTGCCCTTAATTCTCTCCAAAAACACAGATGGTGTTTCATCCTTCAACTGTCCCACCTCAAAGGCTTTAAGTAAATTTTTCCCTTGAGGAACAGCTGTTCTAACTCCCTGGAGTATTATCCTCTTCAAGTCTCCAGGGGGATTTGAGCTGGTGAGCTGTGTTGCTGTTGTTTGGCTTCACGTTCTTGGTCGTGCCACATCTTCATGGTGGGTGTCAGTTTGCTTCATGTTTGGATTGGAGAGGTTTAAAGTGGCTAATGATGCAGCTGTGGTCTGGCTTCTGGTTTGTGGTCATGCCTCATCGGTGTGGGTTTGGGTTTGCTTTTTGCGTGGATGTGTGGTGGTAACATCCTGTGTGGTTTTCATGAGTGTGGGTCTGGTGTCATTCTTTGTGTTAGGGACTCGTTTGTCAATAAGGGCAAGTTTCCAAATGGCTGGTAGGCGGGAGGTATCATCTCGTTTATTCATGCTGTGCGGGCGTTTTTCTATCTCGATGGCTTCTCTGATTATTCTGTTGTTAAAGTGTTCAGTTTTGGCAATAGTTTTGGTCTTTTTAAAGTCAATTTCATGTCCTGTGGCTTTAAAGTGTTGGACCAAGGAAGAAGTTGGTTCCTCTTTTCTGATTGAGTTCTTGTGTTTTTCAATGCGTGCACTTATTCTTCTGTTGGTTTGTCCGATGTATGTGGTGGGGCAGGCGGTGCATGGGATTTCATATACTCCTTGATTTTCTAACTCAATTTTGTCTTTGGGGTTTCTTAGGGTGGTGGATATTTTTCGGTTTGTGCAGAATGCTGTCTTGATGTTGTGCCAAACAACAGCAACGCAGCTCACCAGCTCAAATCCCCCTGCAACTCAGACTAACCCGAGCACAACCAAGCCCCCACCTAAACAGAACACACCCCCAGCCAATCAGAGCACAGCCAACTCCCCAGCCAATCAGAGCATAGTAAGCCCCCAACCAATCAGAACACACTTCCACCCAATCAGAACACAGCCAAGCTCCCACCCAATCAGTTCACACCCCCACTGGCAGTTAAAAGGAAGAAACAGCTGCGATCATACATTGCTCCTAGAAGCACGAAGCCGAAAACACCAGCCTGAAGATGACGAATGAGACGTTGCCAAGACACTTCCAATTTTACGTGGGAGAAGACCCGAATAACAATTTGCAAAAGGGTTCTCCCATGGAAGAGAGAGAAAGTCTGACCACTTGATGGTTTAAATATGGTTTTCAAGCAATACAATGCATTTTACAGCAATACAATGCAAACACCCCCCCAGGGAATTGTTTTCAGGTCTTATATAACATTTTGGCTCTCTTCACATGTTCCACCCTGGAGTTCCCGTCCAAAAATACCCTTCACAGATGTTTCCATGCTGATTGGCATTGTTCTCCGTAATGGATCATTAGACTCTTCCTCTTTTTCTATCAGCCAGACCCATTTTAGAATGTACCAAAACATTTATTTCCCCAAAACAAGCATCACAGTTCTTCATAACAAGCATCACAGAAATATCACAGTTCAATTTTCCTTTCCAGAATCTAATGCTTACTCATGTCCTAACTACCAGGTTATATAAATCAGATTATATAAAGGTTAAATATGGTGTTACGTAGGTTATACTTTTTACAGGAATAATTCATTTTCTCTCATTAGCACTACTGCTTGATAGATTTTGAGCTTTGTAGCAAGGCTTATTCCACGACGTTCCCACACGTTGGTCAGTAGTCTGCCAAATGCAGAGCTTGCCTTGGCAATTCTGCAGTTGACCTCAATGTCAATTGTCATTGTATGGTGCTGCCAAAGTATGTAAATTGGTCCACTGCTTGCAGCTTTTATCCCTTCACTGTGATGGTGGGCTCTTAGTGTTAGGCTTTTGGAGTTGGCTGATGCATCACTTCGGTCTTCTTTATGTTGATGAGGAGGCCGAAGCTGTCGCATGTTGTTGTGAATTTATACACACTGGCTTTCATTTCCTGCTCTGATCCAGCATTCAGGGCACAGTCGTCAGCAAAGAGGAGGTCATGTAGCACAGTCTCCTTTATCTTGGTCACAGCCTTGAGTCTTCGCAGGTTGAACAGTTTCCCATCAGTCCTGTATCTCAGGCTAACTCCCAAGGAACTGTTCTGGAAGGCATCTGAGAACATGGCTGAAAACATTATGCTGAACATTTAATTCTAAACAGCATTGAAAGTTTACATGAAAGCTAGACCATATTGATTTATCAATGAATAAATAAATGTTGGTATTCAAAATACTTTATCACTATTGTGTTAGTTCATTGACATTAGTTACAGAACACAGAACACAGGAAAAAGATAAGCACACTCTGCTAGAAACAAATTCCCTGAAGATGGGCTCTAGCACGAGTCCGAAAACTCAGAAGACTAAACCTCTGGTCCCAGTGACCAACCCAGATTGGATCCTGCCAAAAAATAAATGTTTGTAGGCAAATTGCATAGAATAAGAAAAAGTACATAAGACCCAAACTAGTATAAGTTTGTCTTAAATATTGGTCAAAACATGTTTAATATTCTTTTATCTATTCCCTGTTTATGAAATATAGTGTGGTGCATAGTTCTGGAAATTTTTGCTTAATAAAAATTTAACCTTGTGGAATTTTTGCTTCATACTACAGGTTTTAATTAATAAATTGTAAATCTGTGAAGCCTACCTTTATTAAGCTAAGCTTTAGTGGGACTTTTTTTTTTAATTAACTTTACAAGAACACCACAACACAACATATAAAACACAAACACACAATATGTGTTTCTTTTTAGGTATCAGTTTTGTTCCTCTTACTTTCTACTTTCTACATTTCCCATTTTTTCTTATCCTTTCTTATCTTTATCTTTATCATCCCTTTATTTCCTGTTTTATTCATTTACAAAATTTTACACATTTGTCACATCATTTATTCACTTTTACTTTCCCTAATCTCGAGCCAATCATACCACTTAGTCCATACTTGATAATATTCTGTGTCTTCCTTTTCTTTTATTTCTTTCATTAATTTATCCATCTCCGCACAGTCCAGGATTTTCTTAATTGTTTCTTCCTCTGTTGGTACCTTTTTGTTTTTCCAGGACTGCGCGTAGACTATCCTTGCCGCTATAATTATATGCAAAATCAAATATCTAATTTATTTACTGAAGGTTCTGTTCAATATCCCCAGTAAAAACGTCTCTGGTTTCAAGTCCACATTGTAACCAATTATCTCTTCTATCCAACTTCTAATTTTAGCCCAATATTTTTTTGCCTTAGGACATGTCCACCAGAGATGGTAATATGTTCCAGGGACTTTTTTACATTTCCAACAATTTGGAGAGTTGTTAGGAGACATTTTAGCAAGCCGTACTGATATAAAATGCCATCTGTAGAACCTTTTTAACTGGTTTTCCTTGAATGCTGTTGATAGAGTCAATTTAATGTTTAAAAATTATTTCCCATAATTTTTCCCATTTCTCCAATTCTATATTGTAGCCAGAATTTTTCGCCCACCTAATCATGGTGTCCTTAACTACCTCTTCTTCCATTTTATACCTCAGAAGATATTTGTATATATTACTAATTAATTTTATTTCTCTTCTAGTGGGACTTATTTTTAAGTAAAAATGTATAGTTTTGCAATGTTAGTTTCTTAGTCACTGGTGTGGGACATAAACCATGCAATCCTATTTGAGTTTGCTTAGTTTGTGAAAGCCACAGTTGTGGATAATAAGTCATTTTATCATAGCCCTCCCCAGTCTGCGCGCTCTCGGTAGGAGTGAACTTCAACACCCAGAATTACCTAATTAGGAGAGTCATTACTGAATTCAGCTGGTAGCTGAAATATCCTGCCCTTGGAAGATCCCTATATTAGAGAAAGGCTGGGTTAACACATTATACAGCCCAGTTATGCCATCAACCATTCTTAACCACAGCAAAGTGCTTTGTGCAAACTGACACCATGTTATGTCAGTAGACAGATGTTCAAAATTGTGGATACATTAGTTGGTTCATCAATAGATTGTTCATCATTGTCCTCCTATCCCATCATATCATACATCCCCAAATCTGTTCGAGTGAATTCCCAAACTGTCTTTTGGGATGGAATGCATAGGACATATTGTGCAACAACACAGCGGAATATTACTGGTTTAACCCTACATAATAGATTGTAAAGCTCCTCCTAATAACTACCGTGTTAAATGCTTGGTTTTTGTTTAGCAAATGATAACTTGTATAACAGCCCATTTCTCATATTCTGTAGGGGCTTAGTGGCACTTCAGACTCTTCGTAAACTAGAAGAGCTCACTGGAAAGCCCATTCATCAACTTTTTGACTATATTTGTGGAGTGAGTACAGGTAAATTTTCCTGAAATACTGTAATGATGGAAAAAGTCAATTATTTCTTTTGGAAATATTTATGTACTGAAAATTAAAGATGGTTTAATTTTATTTTTAGATTTGCATATCATATCTAATTTATAGAAACCAAACAGAAAAACAGAAAAAGTGGTTATTATTATATGGGAAGAAAGGGTATCAAAGCAATCCCTTAGGAAAATATACACCAAATGGGTTGAAGACCTGGAAACAACAGAATATATTCATCTGGAACTCCACTGTATCTTAATATTGTAGGTTATCCTTGTATAAAACATGAGCAGCTAATTTCTCACACATGACAAAGTTCTGCTCCAAAGTATATCCAAGAAGGCAGGTTTAAGTGTTTGTCTGCAGACATTATATTTCTGTCCTGTTTTGTTGTTCAAGACAGCAAAATAGGGTAGCTGGTTGATTTAATACACTTAGTAGCAGGGTGGATAAAAATCAATGATTTTTTAAAAAAAATTAAAAAAATCAGATTTTTTTTATTTAAATCGGATTTTTTTTATTTTTATCGAATTTATTTTAATAAAAACTTTTGGGGTAAAAATCTATTGTAAGATAGTTTTCTATTTAAGATACATAAATAATTTAGTTTATTCAGCATGAAATGGAGCTTAGTTATGTAGCATGAGGCTGTATATTCTGCAACACTGGGACTATCGGTGAGTCAACAGTGGGTCAAAGGAGTAGCAGAGATGACAGTTGCTCTTTAAAAATTATGATTTAAATCAAGCCTTTTTACTAGTGATTTAAATCATGATTTAAATTGTGATTTAAATCAACTCAATTTAAATCAAATCCACCCTGCTTTGTAGTAATAATGTATCACAGATATTACAGTGCAGACTGAATAGAGCTGGTAAGTGATGTTTCAGGTTTCACATGATTGTATTAAAACACTAGGTGGAGCTATACATGAACTTAATTATCATTGGTATCATTAATTATCATTAATTCATTGGTTTTTCAGAGATGCCTTCAGTGAGATCTGCAAATCTTAAGAACAGATAATATTTATTCAGTTTCTATAGCCGCCCATCTCAATCAATGACTGGGTGACTTACAATTTAAAAAATATTAAAACACAAGAAACATTTTAAGGATTAAAAAAAGCATGTCAGCACTACTGACAAAGTCTAATGTTATATGCAAACTGCTATATAATGTTATCAACCATCCTTTCATAAACTATGACCTTCCAAATATCTTGGATTACAACTCTCAAGTACAAGAACCCTGTTATAAAGAATAATTAGGATAACTTTGCTGCCTGAGAGTTATATCTAATATTTTTATTCAGAATGGCTACTGCAGTAGAAGCAACAATTATGTATATTGGTTGAAGCCATGACAAGCATGTAGGCAGAACCAGGATTTTCCGAGGTCTTCCTTTTGAAACTACATCATAGCGTAATCTTCATTAATTTCCTGCCTTAGAATCATAGGAATCCATGATACCATTTTTTTAGCAGTGGTAGATGAAGGAATCTCTAAAGGCCACAGAAAGAGATTCAGGTATGCTTTATGTGGTTTGGAATCTTAGGTTGCCAATCTTTGCATAAGATGATAGACATTTAAATTGTCATTCAAATTTATAAATATTTATTTGCAGGTGCTATATTGGGATTTATGTTGGGATTATTCCATATACCTCTGGATGAATGTGAAGAACTTTACCGGAAATTAGGAACAGATGTCTTTAAGCAAAATGTCATTGTTGGAACAGTTAAAATGGGATGGAGCCATGCATTTTATGACAGTGAAATATGGGAGAAAATGCTTAAGTAAGTTAATATGAAATTATTTGCCAATCATGTTTCTTCAGTATAATCCAAAATATAAAACAGAACTCTTTCTCTGTTATATTAATTAGAGCTAAAAGAAGATAGTGTTTTTTAATCAGATGTGGGCCTCCTTGTTTTATTTATTGGTGGCTCCTTAAAAAACCCACACCATTTCCTAGGCTTGCACAGTAAGTTACGTGGTCCCTTGGAAAATTTGTATTTGAGTTAAAGAGGCAACAACAGGCCAGCAACCCACTTAACACTGTATCATATACCCTTGGTGTGGAGGTCTTTTTCTTATGGTTTTGTTCTGTCATCACTAAATCCATTTTATGGTTTAAATTTTTTTAGCGTAAGTAGGCAGAATGTGGAAATAATTATGATAGGCAGACACTTAATTAGCATAGGAATAAAAGAATGCATTAATCTTATTTTTAAACAGATTTACTAACTACAAAGTAATTGAATTACATCAATACACTAACATGATGCTGTTACTAAACTTGTGTTCCTCACCGAGGCTAGGGAGAAAGTGATTATTCCCAGGTTAAATCTCATGAGCTTCAGAGCCTTCTACCTACAATTCCCAGTTATCTTCTGCTAGAATATAATCTTGGAGGCAATGCTTTAGACAACCATCCTTTGATTGTTAGTTCTATCATTTAGTCCTCATATGATGATAGATCCTTAATTCAAACACAGATTTTCCGCTACGGTTAATGTTATAGAGATTTAAATCAAATAGTTGTGTTGATTCAACTCTAGCAAACTATATGATTATTTATTTATTACATTTATTTACTGCCCATGTTGCTATCCAGGGCAATTTATGGAAATGAATTTGACAGCTCTGTTTTCTGAATATATGAAGGTGAGTTCTCAGAGCTTGTGGGTTGGTTTCCAAATGTTTCGTTACTAGGCTAGGTAACATCTTCAACAATTTAGTGGATGTCAATGTCAGTGTTCTTCTGTTTATAAGGGCTTTGTGTGGTCAGTGGGTCTTGTGATGGATCAAGTATGTATCATCAGTGGGAGTCTTGTGATGGGGAGGTTACATCAGGTGAGGATCATTGGGAGGTGAAGTGCTGGTTGGGGGACTTGCATGGGTTGGTTGAGGGTCGGTGCTGTATGGTTAGCTATGGGGTTGATTTGGATTCTGAGGGGCTCATAGGTTGGTTGTAGATCAATATGTCTGTTGATCAGTGGTGAAATGCAGCCGGTTCTATCCGGCTTGGGCGAACCGGTAGCACTGGCGGCAGGAGGCTCCGACCACCCGCCCGGATGTCATCACATCCCATTTTTGATGCTCTGCGCATGCGCAGCATGTGCAAAGGTGTCGTGCACGCGCTTCCATTTGTGAACCGGTAGCAAAGGTAAGTGGATTTCACCCCTGCTGTTGAAGGAATTGTTTGTGGTGTGCCAGGCTTTGATGAACTCACAAGAGTGGTGGATGGTAGTGTGGCTGATGATTTTTGTGTTGCTCCAATTGAACTGGTGCTGTTTGATATCAGTGTGAGTAGAGATTAAGGATTTGGGGTTTGACTGCCAGCCGGTGTTTGTGGATCCTGGTTTTTTTTTCTGAATATATGTCTAACTGCTATTTTTGAAAAGTTAAGATTGTCATTAAAATTTACTGTTTTTAAATAATCTGTCAAGAAAAGATGGTAATACTGAAAATACTCTAATGAGTTATTCCTTCTTTCTGTAAAAAAAAAAAAAACAAGAATAGTAATAGATAAGAATAAGAATAATTTTATTGAAGTGATTCTAAATCCCAAAGGCATTCAGAATTTAAATTCTTTTTAAAAAACCAAAACCACGATATTAAAATTAATAGAAATAGAGCAATAGAAATTATTCATGGAAATTATTAGAGTCAGTGATGGGGATACTGTGCTAAACAGACATATATCCAAGCTAATTCTCACTTTTAGCACATGCTTTTATACGTTGATTTTAATCAAACTAGAGAAATGAATGCAAAAACATGCTCCATACCTGATTGAGAGCTGTAGTTCTTAAGAGGAAAGACAGCGCAAACTCTAAAATTGTAACCTTAGCAATTTATCTGGTTTGTGTAGGGAACGAATGGGATCCGATGTTATGTTTGAAACAGCAAGAAATCCTAAATGTCCTAAGGTAAGTTTATTTTCCTAAGGTGTTTACTATTTTCCTTGAATTTGTTGCTACCCGTGTTTCCCCGAAAATAAGACTGGATCTTATATTAATTTTTGCTCCAAAAGATGCATCAGGGCTTATTTTCTGGTTAGGTCTTATTTTGGGGGAAACATGGTACTAAATGTTTCCATCTGGCTGACAATCTTAACGGGGGCTTATTTTTGGGGTAGGGCTTATATTACAACCATCCTGAAAAACAATGCTAGAGCTTATTTTCCAGTTTTATTTTATTTATTTACCAAAAATTTATATGCTGCCCTTCTCCCTAAGGACTCAGGGCGGCGAACACAAGTTAAAAACATACAATAATAAAAAGTAAAGTGATTAAAACCCAGATTAAAACAACAACAATCAAAATAATAAAACCCAAGTATCAGGATCAACCCATTTGTTGGAACAGCCAAGTCTTTAAGTCCCGATGGAAGGAGCGGAGATCAGGCGCCGTCCGAAGCTCAGTGGGTAACTCGTTCCAGAGGACGGGCGCCTACAGAGAACACTCTACCCCTGGACATCGCCAGCCGACATTGTCTGGCCAACGGTACCCTGAGGAGGGCAGCCCTGTGAGAGCAGACAGGACGGTGGGAGGCGGGTAGGAGATGGTCCTGCAAATACCCCTGACCTAAGCCATGTAGGGCTTTAAAGGTAAGTACCAGCACCTTGAAGCGGATCTGAAGGACCACTGGTAGCCAGTGCAGCTCGCGCAGGAGAGATGTTACCCGGGAGTAACGGGGAGCTCCCGTAACCACCCACGCAGCCGCATTGTGGACCAGCTGGAGCCTCCGGGTGCACCTCAAGGGCAGCCCCATGTAGAGGGAGTTGCAGTAATCCAAACGAGAAGTAACCAGGGCATGAGTGACCATGCGAAGGGCATCTCGGTCTAGGAAAGGGCGCAACTGGCGCACCAGGCGAACCTGGGCAAAAAAAACCCTGGTCACGGCCGTAAGATGGTCTTCCAAAGACAGCCGGGAATCCAGGAGGACACCTAAGTTGCGGGCCCTCTCGACGGGAGGAAGCACTTCCCCCCCCCCATCGAAAGTGATGGAACTTCTAGAACATGAGACATCGGCATCCATAGCTACTCAGTCTTGGAAGGGTTGAGTCTTAGCCTGTTCCTACCCATCCAGGCCCGTACCGCCTCCAGGCAGTGGGACATCAGTTGGGTCTTATCTTCAGGGAAGCAAGGTATTTATTTTTAATCATATCTTACAAAGTATTGATATCCATTCTTGCTCCCTTCCTTTAAAAAAAGGATGAGCAGTTCAAATAGCCTAACAGCTTGTTAGCTGACACATTCCTTTTTAATTAGTTTATAATATAAAATATAAAAGCAAATAATAGGAAAAATAGGGGAGGGAAAAGTGTAGAAAAGAAAGGAAAAAGAAAGAAAAGGCATTGACTTCAAACTCCCTTTGGTGAAGGAGAATAAGATAATAACATCAAACCTCAACTTTTTATTTTTAGATAACAGTATAAACTAGCCATTTCTACAACAATAAATCTATCTAATCAGTAAAACCCAAAATCAAAGTTTCATTTTTTTCCATCTCAAGCACAAAGTGCAGAAGCAGTTTCCAAATAGAAACAAAGTAGTTGTATTTTTTTTTCTTTAACCAAAGCAGTCAATTTAGCCATCTGTGCTAACTCCCATCAACTTTTGCAGCCATTCATCCATTGTGGGAATCAAAATGTCTTTCTATTTTTGTGCATAAAGTAATCTTGCTGCTGTCAACATATGTAACAGTTCCAATTTTTTTCTTAAGTCTTTTCATTAAACCCAAAAGAAAAGTTTCTGGTTTTATCTTTATATTCACTTTAAGAATTTTCTGTCTTAGGATATGAATCCTACTCCAATATTTCTTTGCTTTATCACATATCCGTCATAAATGATATAAAGTCCCTTTTTTACATTTGAATTTCCAACATTCATTTGAAATACCGTTATACATTTTTGACAACTTGTCTGGTGCTAAATACCAGCGATACATATCTTATAAAATGTTTCTTTTAAATTATAATTTATTGTAAATTTTAAACCTTTCATCCACATATTCTCCCATTGTTCAAGCATTACATTATATCCAAAATTCTTTGCCTTCTGAATTAGGGTTCACCAACCTTTCGGACCTCAGTGACCACTAAATTCCTAATTTTAAATCCTGCAGACCACTAATATGATCTGCCTAATGACTGGCTGGGTGGGTGTAGCTAGGTAGTCATGTGACTGGGTGGGCAGGGCCAACTCAATGTCACTCGCGTCGAGGGGCGCCTCACCAGCCCCTGCTTGCCCGTCCCCTCCCAGCCACTCCTCGCCTGCCCACCCAGACTCCTTAGGGCCCCAACAGGAAGCAGTTGTTGGAGCTAAGCAGCTACCATGAGAAAGAGTTGGCAAAACAGCTGGCTCAGTTCAAATTGGATCTGACCGAGAAGGAGGCTCAGCAGAAGCACCACACTAAGGACTACGAGCATAGGCTTTCCAAGCAGAGGGAAGGCCTGAGGGAGTGCAAGGCCAGGTACCAGCGTCTACAGGTTCAGCGGGCTGAGATGGTCAGTCAGTTTCAGGCCATGATGCAGTCCCACTGGAACGAGGCCCCCCGGCTCTTTGCCACCAGTGGCGCTTCCCTCCAACCTTTGCCCAAAACCCTGCACCAGGAGGCCAAAACAGACCCCAAGTCAGAATTTCTGCCCCCCCTTTGACCCACACAAAAAGACCCCGAAGCTGGAGTAATACAAACATTCATTACACATATCCGGCCCAGGGGCCGTAGTTTGAGGATCCCTAATTTAGTGCAATATAAAACATGCAAATAATTTTTCTGTGGACCACCAAAATTTTATCACGGACCACCAGTGGTCCACGGACCACCAGTTGGTGACTGCTGCTCTGAATGATGCAATACTTTACATATTCATTTTTCAAATTCAAATTCAACAACAATTTATAGACCCTAGCAATAATATATTCATCACTACCACGCAGTAGGATTTCCAATTCATTTTTAACAAAGTCAAACCCATAACTCTTTTTATCTCATTTAAAACTTTCTTTCAATTGTAAATATATAAACCAATGGCCGACATGTCCTCCTGATTCTAATGTTTCCTTAGACTTTTTTAAAAAGTTTTTTATTTTTATTTCTCATAAACACATTTACATGTACAGTCATTTATCCATCATTTTTCATTCACCTTATCTTTTAACTTTCATTTTTAATTTTTAGTTTTTACTTTTTCGGGGCTGCTCTTTTACCATTTACCTTTACTCCAACCTTTCTTCTTCTCCAACCCTTCTCTTCCTTCCTCTTTCTCCTCCTACTTTCTTCTTTCTTCCTCTCCTTCTCTTTCCTACTTCCCCTTCCCTTCCCCCACTCCTCTCTTCTTCCCCCTTCTAACCTTCTCTTTTACTCCTCTTTCCCCTCCCTTTTCTTTCTCTCCTTTTCCCTTTCTTCTTTCTCCTCTCCTCTCCGTTCCTCTCTCTCTACTCCTTCCCCTCTTTTTTGTTGTTTCCCATTTATTTATTTATTTAGTAAGATTTATATGCCGACCTTCTCCTGCAAGACTCAGGACGGCTAACAACAATAAAAACAACCCGACAATAAATAAGAGTTAAATAATATTAAAACCAATTTAAAATCCCCAATCCCCAAGTTAAAATCCACAACAGATCAGGGAAGTTGGTGAAAAAGCCATGTTTTTAGGTTGGCGCGGAAGGTGCGGAGGTCGGGGGCCATCCGGAGCTTGGTGGGCAACCCATTCCAGAGGGTCGGTGTGACCACAGAGAACGCCCTCATCCTGGGGACTGCCAGCCGACAATGTCTAGCCAAGGGGACCCGGAGGAGGGCAGTCCTATGTAAGCGCACTGGACGGTGGGAGGCCGGCAGGAAGTGATCCTGCAGATACCCCGGGCCCATGCCATGAAGGGCTTTATAAGTGAGTACCAGCACCTTGAAGTGGTTCCGGAGGACCACCGACAATCAATGCAGCTCACGCAATAGCGTTGTTATGTGGGAGTAGCGGGACGTGCCTGTAACTACTCGCGCGGCCACATTCTGGACCAGTTGGAGCCTCTGGGTACACCCCAAGGGCAGCCCCATGTAGAGGGCATTGCAGTAATCCAATCGAGAGATGGTGAGAGCATGGGTGACCGTACGGAGGGCGTCCCTGTCTAGAAAGGGTCGTAACTGGCGCACCAGGCAAACCTGTGCGAATGTCCCCCTTGTCATGGCCGTTAGATGGTCCACTAAAGATAGCTGTGAATCAAGGAGGATGCCAAGATTATGAACCCTTTCCAAGGGAGCAAGACACTCCCCTCCCATCAACAGTGATGGGGGAGCTAGATCATGGGACGCCAGTATCCACAGCCACTCTATCTTGGAGGGGTTGAGCCTGAACCTGTTCCTACCCATCCAGACCCGCACCGCCTCCAGGCACTTAGACATCACGGAAAGGGCATCCCTAGGTTGGTCCAGGGTGCAGATGTACAGTTGGGTATCATCAGCGTACTGATGATACCGCATCCCGAAACCCCGAATGATCTCACACAGCGGCTTTATATAGATGTTAAAGAGCAGGGTGGAGAGAACCGACCCCTGCGGCACCCCACAAGTGAGGGGCCTTAAGGAGGATCTCTGACCCCCTTCCCAAACAAACTGTACGGCCCGAGAGGTAGGAGGAGAACCACTGTAAAACAGTGCCCCCCCACCCCTAACCCCCCGAGACGTCGCAGTAAGATACCATGGTCGATGGTATCAAAAGCCGCTGAGAGGACTTCCGGTGGTGACGACATCGTGAGCGGGGTGAGGAAACGGTTACTGCCGTTTCTGGAACCCAAATATTTTCTAACAGAAGCTCGTTACGAGCTTTCCTGATCCCGTAGAGATCGGGAAACAAGAGGGGAAGCCTTGAAGCCCCTGGACGCGGTGCTAGCGTCGGAGGGGACACAAGACAAACATCTCAAATCTGTT